TTATATCCTAAAACCAGCCTTCATTCCCACCACATTATCTCCACATTATCTCTTTAGAGATGGCTAAAGCAAAGGGGGAACCAAACTGGAACTTTTCCTGATTCCAAGATTGACATGCTGCAACCCACTGGGGAAAGAACAAGTTAACTGACTTTCTGTCTAAGGCCTATTATATTCCAGGACTAAAACAAACAGCCCAAGACATCTCTGTACAATGTCCAACCTGCTAACAGGTAAATACCAAACAAGGAAGACGAACCCACCCTGGGATCTGCAAAAAAGAACTACCTGGAGACCACCTGGAAGTCAATTTCACTCAGGTAAGGCCTCCTTTGAATGGTTATAAATATCTCTTAGTTTTTATGGATAGTTTCTCAGGTTGGCCAGAAGCATGTCTTACCAAAAATGAAACTGCTTGGACTGTTATAAAATTTCTTGTCAATGAAATCATACCTTACTATGAACTGCCAATTGTCATAGGTCAGATAACCAATAATGGCTGCAGCATTCACTGCAGCCATATCACAAGGAATATCACAGGCTCTAAATATAAACTGGAAACTCCATGTGCTTGCGATCCCAAAGTTCTAGGCAAGTAGAGTGCATAAACCAGACCCTAAAGTGTACCCTCATAAATCTGCCTTACAGACCGGTGCTAGGTGGCCTATGCTTTTGCCTGTCACTCTCTTGCAAGCCGATGCACCCCCTATAAGGGAAATCTTTCTCCTTTTGAAATCATGTATGGGAAACATGATTTCATCTTTTGCTTCCTTGAGAAAAATGACATTCATTTGGCAGAAATCAGCCACCAACTTCTTGTAAACTACTTTAAGTCTCTCCAGCAGGTTGGGGGGCTTTAAAATTCCTGCAAGAGAACCAACCCCAAGAGACCATTGATTTCCAACATCCGTTCCAGCCTGGAGACAATGTCTACATCAAGCAGTTCCAAAAAGAAAGGACTGACTCCCAGTTGGGGAGGACCCCACTCCATCCTGACCACCCCCCACCCCAACAACCATGAAGGTAGATAAACTTTTTTTTTTTTTTAAACAGGAACTCCTTTATTATCCGAACCCCACACACACACACACACACACCTCCCACTGGCCCTTCCAGGAACCACCAAACAGAAATCCCTCCACTTCCCCAACCAATGGGAACTCTCTAGGAATCCTGCCAGAACTCCAAAGTACTGGGCCCACGCAGACAGCAGGGGTCTAATATACAATTGAATACACAGCTTAACATAACCATCATCATCTCAATGGCTCAATAGTGTCACCTCTCAACCACTCCCTTCTGGCACAAATGCCTTGTGTCCTCTGCTGTGTCTCTTAGCACTCATAAGTGGATGCTAACACACAGTAAGAAATGGGAGAGGAAAGAATAGAATTTCTTTTTTTTTTTTTAATTTTTTTTAAGAGAGAGAGAGAGAGTGAGAGAATTTTTTTCTAATATTTATTTTTTAGTTATCAGCAGATACAACATCTTGGTTTGTATGTGGTGCTGAGGATCGAACTCGGGCCGCACACATGCCAGGCAAGCGCGCTACCTACCGCTTGAGCCACATCCCCAGCCCTGAAGGTAGATAAACTTACAGAGTAGATTCATCACACCCGAGTCAAAGCAGCAAAAACATCACCCATGGAGGAATGAATGGCTCACAGAGACCTGACCATTCTCTAAAGACAAGACTAAAAAAAAAAAAAATTAATGTTTTTCCTCTTGCTCGGATTCTGTTATAATGTCCAGGCTGCTCCTCATAAGTACAATTTTACCATCACTTCCAACGGAATGACAACTAATCTCTTTCAAAAGCTTCCACCCTTTTCCCTTGTACAATAGTAGGGACCCAATCTTTACCCCTTACTGCAAACTGTTCATCAGTTTATTAACCTATCATGGCCAGAATTGGCAAATGATTGCTGGCTATGCTTAAAATCTAAGCCTCCTTACTATGTAGGTTGGGTTCCACAGAGATGCCCACAGTATGGCCAAATACTACTTACTATACAAACTCCGGACCCAAGCTTACTTTAGGGGTATATATAGAAAAAGTCACTTGTATTGGTTTTCCTAATACCGATGTGCCTCCTAACTTTCCTGTGAACATTTACTCCTATAATATTTCTGGAAATTATACTATATCTTACTTTGCTCCTAATGACACTTGGTTTGCCTGTGACACTGGTTTATCTCAATGTACCTCTTTATAGCACTATCCCAACATCTGCATCGTAGTGTGTGTGTTACTTCAGACCTACACCTACAGTAGGCCAGGAGGGGCTCCAAATCACCTATCTCCAGATAAAAAGGGCAGTTCCTCTCCTCGTTCCAGGCCCTTGTGGGATTAAATGTAGCAGGAGCAATTGCAGTGGGTCCCGCAGCCTTAATAAAAGAGAACAGGGACTCACCTCTTACCCAGGAGGTAAATGACAATTTAAGCCACTTAGAGCAGGAAATCAACCATTTATATGACCAAGTCCAATATTCGGCTGAAGTGGCACTTCAGAATCATAGGGACCTAGATCTCTTGTTCATGTCCCAAGGAAGGCTCTATATGACCCTAAGGGAAGCTTGGTGCTCCTGTGCAAATAAATATGGAGTCATTAAAAGTTCCTTTGCCAAAATAAGAAAAAAGATACAAAGGAAAAATCAAGAGTTAAAACAAAATAAGTCCTGGTTCCAGAGATGGTACGAATGGAACCCCTGGTTGACTACCCTCCTCACTACAGGGCTGGACCTGTAGTCCTAATATTCACAGGATTGCTCATTGGCTCTTGTCTTAAACTGGCTTATTAAATTTCATTGAACAACACATTTCCTCTGTTAAACTGATGTATATGTGCAGCCTCATACCCAACACAAGAATAATCAAGGATTTGATTGTCTCTAGAAGAGGGGGAATATTATGGGCTGATTTGAAAATCCTGACCAGACTTATCCCATTTTGTTCACTCACCTTACCTTATGTGAAGTTGGCCCCCTTTCATATGGTGCCCACATCTGCCCTCCTTGCCTCCTAACTGCAAGTTCCTGGTTTGGCAGTACCAATGTATAGAGACATGTCTCTTCTCCTTCCTCTCTTCTAAGAATGTGATTTTTTAAAATGCAACTTTGTAACTTTTTTATAACCTGGTAATTTTCCACTTTTATGAACTGTATCTTGTGATTATGATTGCATCTTCTGCCTCCCCCGCTTTTGTGTTTCTTAGCTTTATAAGCCTGTCCATACCCTTAATCAGGGTCAAGATGTAGTATGAGCCACACCAGATACTCCTTCATGGGCAAGGTCATGTCCATTACCACAGGGGACCCAGAATCTTACAAGGGAGAGAGCTCCCACAACTAGAGAAGAAGAGTACCGCGCCTCTGCATTCAAGGCTCCAGGATCCCCGTGAGCCTGAGATCTCTCTAGGGCCTCCAAATGATGTGGCCTATAAGTAAAAAGTCACCAGGTCAGTCTTGAAGCAGGACATGAAGCTTTACTGCCATCAGTTGAGATGCAGGAATCCAAATCTCTGGTCACATCTCAACCCCGACTGAGAATAAAGACAGGCTTACAAAGCTAAAAACCACAAATAAAAAGGAAGCAGGAAAAGGAATCTTAAGCAATCATAATCACAAAACACACTTCATAAAAAAGTGAAAAATTACTGGGTTACAAAAAGTTACAAAGTTGCATAAAGAAAAAAAAATCACATTCTTAGAAGTGAGGAAGAGACACATCTTATTCATTGGTACTGCCAAACCAGGAATTTGCGGTCAGGAGGCAAGGGGGGCAGGTGTGGGGCACCATATGGCAAGGGACCAACTTCACAGAGGGTGAGGTGTCTGAACAAAAATGTTTAAGTCCGGACTGATTTTTCAAATCCGCCCATAACATTCGGATGTTTCAGCTCACAAGGTGAAGGGCTTATTCATGCAACTTTGGAAGGCAGGTATATTACAAGTGCTGGTGTTTTATTCGGAGAACAGCTGCCTGGGCGGTGGCAGAGGACATGGAGGAGAGGAGAAGCCTTGAGAAGAGAAATCAAAGCACTGCGCGGGGCAACTACCCTAGCATCCGCGCACCGCGCACTCCCGCCGCTCTCAGCTCCTTCCAAGCGGCCCTGCCAAGGCTCCCTCTTTGCAATCGTAGACCACCGTCTTCGAACAGCCTCCAAGTGGCTTCCCGCGCGACACTGGCAGCCCATGAAGGTGCCGCTCTGGGACACGAGAGGGAAAAGGACGCCGCGAACCCTCGTCCACCTCGAAAACCGGCCCATGCGACCCTGACACCGTCTCACGCCCGCCCTACCCCTGCCGAACGGCGATCCTCTTCTGTAGCATCCTCCCGTCCACCTCGACTCCCTCCCCCGACCCACTCCTCCTCCAGGTACCACGGGAAGGACAAGGAGCTCGACAGCTGGGAAGATGGCGGCACTTACCTGTCACAGCAGCTGTGCTCTCCACCGCCCGGAGCCAGCCCGGGTGGCACTCAGCCCGTAAGTCCCCACGACACGGCCCGCAGTACTGACCCGCAGACCTGCAGGACACCGGCCGACTCGGCACTGACGCGACCCGGCGACCCCAACTTTCCGTGCCCGCACTTCCGGCACCGCCGGAAGTTCCTCTTGACCACCGCCCCACATCTAGAGCCACCGGAAGCTCCGCCCAAGCGTGGCACCGCCGGAAGTCTTGTCCTGGCTTCCGCCCCGCAGGCCTGGTTCCCCGCAGGTCTGTGCGCTTCTCTGCGGTGCAGTCGCCCCGCCACCCTAGCTAACCCTAGCGGGGCGCGAGCAGGGGCCGAACGAGTGACCTAGAAATGGGGGCGAGCATGGCGCGACTGGTGACACGGGCGGGCTCGGACGCCAGAGGGCTCGAACCTCGCAGACACGCCGGGACTTGTGCCCCGAGCGAGCCCAGCCCTACAGCCCCACGGCCACCCAGGCACTCGGGCACCGCCTCCTAGGACCCCGGGCGCCTCCAGTGGGGGAGAAATCACCCGAGCTACTCACCGCGCAGGGGTTCCGGGGGGATCCACGGTCAGGCAGGTTTCAAATCCATCTGTCCTCTAAGAACTAGAGACGAGAAGGAAAATAGTCCCTTAAAATGCAAGGTCAAGTATACTGTTTATAACAATCAATTTCGAAATCTTTCAAATCCACACCGTTTTATACGCTAATTTGCTGCTAACCGCTTAACTGGCAGCGCTCTGTGGTAGTCTTGTTATTTGCCTGCAGGGGAGCCTGATGGAGATAGAACTATTAATATTTCAGCTTATCTGCAGAAGATGACTCACCCAGTTTCCTTCTGAAATATTTGATCACCATTGGCTAAAAAAGAGAAAACAGAATCAGCTGTTCACTGCAAAAGGTGGGACTTAAGCTTTAATCTAGGTTGGAAAACTACATAATAGACTGGAACCATTACATAAACAGCCTTCTCTGCAAACAACTCTACCTGAGTCTTTAAAGCTCACCTGGACTAAATCAAAAGTACGAAAGCATTACTTAAAGTATTATTTTAAAATAATACTCGAGATTCAGATTAAAAAAACAGTGATATGTTTTTGGAGAAGAAGCAAATTTAATGTGCTTGAGGATTCAAATAACCAAAGATATATGTAAAGTAAAACGTGAAGTTACTTCTGCAGTAAATATAAAAGCTTATCACTGGAAACAATTCTGCAAGATGAACTAAGATATATGGATTTTTAGAGAAATCATTTCCAAACTTGGAGGTTGTCACAAATATTATTTAGCAACAAATATTATACAAGACATTCTGCTAGGCATAATAGCCTACATTATCATATTCAACTAACTCACATTCTACTAGGTGGTTTTGTTTTGCAACATAACATCCACAGTTTGTATGGCACTTAAGATACTGTTAATGATAGTAATGTTTTTCTTTGATATATTTAGGATTCCACAAAAGCCACAATTGAATACATTATGCTGTATCACAAAACCAAAAGAAAGGAATCAAGTTTTGAGGGCCAGTCAATTCAAATAATTTGTAACTTCTTTAATCCCCAAGAACACAAAGTGGAAACTACTATTCTAAACTGAATTTTACCTAAATATGAGAACGTTGAAATGACTTCAAAAGTGAAAAAGACAGAATGCAGCACAAGGATTAAGATCCAGATGCCAAGGTCCACATTATCCCCACTGTGTATACTTTGATAGGGCTGCAGTAACAAAGTCACAGAATAGGTGGCTTGAACAGAAATTTTCTCTCTTTAGAATTCTAGAGGTTAGACCTCCAAGTTGTTGGCAAGGTTGTTTCATTCTGAGAAATATGAGAGTGAATCTATCCATGCCTGTTTCTGGAGTTTACCATCAATCCTTGGTGTTCCTTCTCTGTGGCAGTAAAAATTCAGTCTCCCTGTATATGTCTGTTTCTTCATTTGGATGACTGATGAGGACATCAGTCAGTACTGACTTGCTGACCTAGGTCACCTGGACCTCATCTATGACACTGGAAGAAGAACTGATGGGTAAATGCTGCCAGTCTCACATTGAAAAAATATTATCACATCCTCTGTGTTAAGTTTCACCCACCAAGTACTTGCCATCTTTCCTCATTCTAGTTTTCGAGTAGAGCCTTCGTTGTGTCTTGTCCATGTGACAGACAAAAGGGAAAACTATTCTAATCTCAAGTATGTTTGGTTTTCAGACTTTTTAGCAATATGTTTGGTTTGTATCTAATAAAAGGAATATGCATGATTTTTGCATAAAGAAACAAATCAGCATTATTCTCATTATCATGACACTTAGATATTTTCAAAATGAAGTTGTAATCATGGGAAAATATTGGAAAACTCTACCTAATTAATAATCAAACATATATTGTAAACCTGTTCCAGATGGTGTTAGAAAACCATATCTCTGTTGGCAAAAGGTACATACAAATGAAAAAGAAGATACTTTAAATAACTTTATACTGGTCTCTAAGCACACAGTTGCTATCCTTTTGTTTATCAATACCACATAACTTGCAACCCATTTACATTATATAGCAATGCACAGTTAATGAATGAGGTATTGTTAACGCCTCTCTTATAGAAGAGTGCTTTAAGATATTTAGTAACTATCCCAAAGCAGCAGGATAAGTGGTTGAGGGGAAACCTTCTCCTGAGTCTCTTCAATTTTTATTACTATTAACTATATGAAAATAGCTGTATGAATCTAAATTGCATGAACAAGGCTATGTATACATAGTAAACTTTCTCTGTTTTGCATTAAGAATCCTGCATTTTTCTGTATTAAGGTTACACACAAAGATATAATGATGGAGCTATTATTGTGCCCAATCTGATGGCAACATTTTGCAGAACAGAATCTTCAAAGTGGAGTGTTGGAATACAGATATATATCCTAATACTAGGTCCATAATATTTTGTCAGACCACTCTATATTATAAATCATAAAATCAAAGAGAAAATAAGTCTGTCTAAAAGACAAATATAAAATCCAGACTTGTAATCCCACCTATTCAAGAGTCTGAAGCAGAAGGATTATAAATTTGAGGCCAACCTGTGCAACTTTACAAGACACTGTCTCAAAAAAGAAAGAATGGGGATGGAGATCAGTGGTAGAAGGCTCCTGGGTTAAATCCACAGGACCATTGGAAAAAAAAAAAAAGCATTGGAGATGCAGCTCAATAGTAGAGCACATACTTAGCATGTGCTAGGCCCTGGTTAAATCCCCATTACCACAGAAATAAATAAAATGTAAATATAGGAATTCTTCCTTCTTGTCCCCTTTTTAAGGACTCGTGTTATTCATTGGGAGATTGGAAATTGTTTATGGGTTTTTAAAAATGGCAACAAATTTAAGGATATAATTGGCTTTTATTAGAGCTTCTAGAATTAGGAAGCATCTCATTCTAAAAAGAATGAGTGCTCCTCTGAGCATGACAAAAGAGTTGGTTTTTGTCAGGTGGAAAGAAGGAAACAATAACATAAAAAGTAGGTTGGCTAACATCAGTTTGCTACAGGTTACTTTTCTTAATAATGGTTAAAGGAGATGAGACTTCCTTATTAACATAGCCAGGGTTAACTAGGCCCTTCCAAATAGTTACTGTGAACCTCCTGTTTACAGAACAAACTGATATGTTCAGGAGGTTTACCTGGTTCCTTAAAACTCCAGTTTATGTGGCACTTAGCATGAGTAACACCATGTCAGTTTGATTTGTTGGGGCCTAGTATAGGAACTCAGTTCAAATGACAGCCTTCTATAAATTTTATTGAACAATGGAAAGAATGGAAGGAACTATAGAAGATATTATTGTTAAATGTTTACATGTTTCTTTGTGTGTGAAGTGTCTACTTGTGTGGTACCTTACTGGCATTGTCAAGTCAAATAACAACAAAATCTTAGTTCTGAAAGCTGGAATGGTTTCTGCCTTTTCGCTGTTATACCTAATATCCTAAGTAGCCACACAAATTAAGAAAGAATCCTGGCTGGGGGTGGTGGATTGTGCCTGTAATCCCAGCAGCTTGGGAGACTGAGGCAGGAGCATAGTGAGTTCAAAGCCAGCTTCAGCAATATAATGAGTCTCTGTCTCAAAAAATAAAAAAGGTCTGGGTGGTTAAGTCAGTGGTTAAGTGCCCCTGAGTTCAATCTCTGGCACCTAAAAAAATAAAATAAAAGGATCCTGGCACCAGTAACATTTCCACCAGGAACTATTACTTATTTAATAGGCATTCATTTTCCCATAGCTACCCTTACACTGGTGAGAAGACACAAAATGTGATCCCAGACTTCAAAGAAATTACAAGTCACTTAAGGCAAAACTAAATATGAAACAAAACAAAGTCCATTAAGCATGAGCATGATATTAACTATAAGTACATTCATAGTATAAAAAAGAAAAATGAGTACTTTTTGTTTGAAATAGTTGAAGAATGCACAAAGGAAATTTAAACTGAACTTTGAAGGCCAAATTAGACATACTGATTGGGCGAGAAATGGATGAAGAAGTGGCACATTTTAGACAGAAATAAAAAGATGGAAAGGATGGGTAGAAAAGTGACAGCAAGAAAACTGGTGAAACCAGTGTGAGTGAAGATTATGTTCCAGAGAATAGGGAAAAATGATTTTAGAAGACCAGAACATGAGAAGCCTTAAAACAATGGAACCCCATAGTATCAACGAAATAGGTACTGAGGAGTCATTGTACATTTCTGAGAATGGAAACATGTAAAGAAAGAGTAGGATTCCTCTCCAGATGTGCTCTCTCTGACTTTCCTCTTACACACTGGCTCCTCAGTAATCCACATGCTGCCCTTTTCTATTCCCACTCCACACTTTCTTGTATCCACTCTTGTAGCTTCTCCTATAATGTGTATTTTTATAGTTACAGATCTCTACTTTCAGCCCACAACTGTCTCCCAAGACGGGGACTTTTTAGTCAGTGTACAGTATACCTTTACCTGAAGAGGTAGTTGAGCACGTGGCTAGACTCAGACTAGAGCTAGATCTCCCAGATTTTAATCCTGACTTTTGCTACTTACTGGATGTGTTATCTTGAGCAAGTTGTTTAACTACTGTGTGCTAACTAGTAAAATAGGAATAAACATTCTGCCTTTTACACTTGTGTATTAATCAAATTAATGCATGCAAAATATTTATACTAGTACCTGAGGCACATTAAATATTCAAATGGTGTTCACTTGAATCAACAATTGCATATATGGGGCTGGGGATGTGGCTCAAGCAATAGCGCTTGCCTGGCATGCGTGCGGCCCGGGTTCGATCCTCAGCACCACATACCAACAAAGATGTTGTGTCCACCGAGAACCAAAAAATAAATATTAAAAAAAAATTCTCTCTGTCTCTCTCTTTCCTCTCTCACTCTCTCTTTAAAAAAAAACAATTGCATATATGTCAAGGTTTTTGTGAATGCAGAAGACAGCAAGGGAACTTAAAATTGATTAAAGAAAAGATAAATTCATTGATTCTTCAAATGAAACTGAGAAAAGGAGTCCAAGTAACCAAGAAGACAAACTGAAACCAGGGACTCGTTCCATCTCTATGCTTTACTTCTCTCTGCCTACGACCTTCAATCTCTTATACTATAGACCATTTTCCACAAGGCAGATTATCATCAGGTGGCAGTTGACAGGATAACATTCTCAGTTTCACTACCAAAGAGACACTGAACCTTTTCTCATTGTTACAATTTTGGAAATCCATTGGGAGAAATACTGGATGGCCATGTTGAGGCCTTTACTCACCCAACCCTATATTCAATGGGCTAATTTCAGTATCCTTAAAAAATCATATTATTAGAACAGATGGAGG